CCACCCCCTGCCGCACAGAGCCACCGCCGCCCCGGGGCGCTCTCGGGGCCTCCGGGGTCCCCAGTCCCTCAGCCCTCACAGAGGCAAGGGCGTTGTGTTGTCTGATCGCAGGGATCGGCCTTACTGAGCCCCAGGGCTGCCCTGTCCCCACCAGGAGCAAATGTAAGGCTGGGCTAGTCCCGGTTGCTATCCTCAGTCCTGGCTGGAGGTCACTTCCCAGGGGGAGAGGGGTGCTAAGGGTGTCCTTCACCCATCTGCACTCATCACTGCTCTCGCCCCCAGCTACATCCCCTGGAACTACCACGAGCCGCTGCCGGGGGTTTACGATTTTGCTGGGGACCGGGACGTGGAAGCCTTCCTGGACTTGACGGCCGATCTGGGGCTCTTGGTGATCCTGCGGCCGGGGCCCTACATCTGTGCAGAGTGGGAGATGGTGAGCCCCAGCCTGCCCCGGCCCTGCACGAGCCAGCTCCAGACCAGCCCGGTCCCCCGTGCGATGCCCTGACGGGTGGCCTTGGCATAGTGGGGCTGGTGCCTCTTGCCGACGGGCAGACCCTGGTGCCTTGCAAACCTTAGGCTGCAGCCCCATGGGGCACATGCTGCTCTGGTGCTGATCACCAGGGTTTTGGTTCTGTGCCTCCCGGATTGCTGAGCAGCCTCTCTGTCTCCCTCCCTGCTGCGGGGTGTTTCTCTAGGGTGGCTTGCCTGCCTGGCTGCTGTGGAAACCAGACATCGTCCTGCGCTCCTCCGACCCTGGTGAGCCTCAGCGCATGGTCTGAGCGGTGCCCGCAGAGACTGCTCCCAGCCCCTGCACGCTACTCTCTGTTGCTGGTCTCTCTCCTGGCACCCACCAGCCCCAGAGAGCATGTCTTCCCTCCCACCTGCTTCTCTCTTTTGGGAGCCTGATAGTTCCTCTGCCGCCACTTCCGCATTGCTCTCAGCTCTGTCCCATCTACTCCAACCTCCTCCTCGCAGCACTGATTGCATGTGGGGCTGAGCGGACCCTGCAGCCAGGCTGAGCTGCTGTCTGTGCCCCCAGACTACCTGGCAGCTGTGGACTCCTGGCTTCACGTCCTGCTACCCAAGATGAAGCCACGGCTGTACCAGCACGGGGGGAACATCATCAGTGTGCAGGTTGGGTGCTGTGGGACTCGGGTCTCTGCCCTGCTCTGGGTCATCTTCAGCTTTGCCCTAAAAAGCTATCTGCACTCCCTACACTGTGCCCTCATCTGGCACAGCTCATAGATAAAGCCCCTGTGTCATCTGGGCCAGGGTTTCTCTCCAAGGGCTAGGACTCGGGGTACCTGTCTGTGCTGCAGGGCAGGAGGTTGGGGTTTGAGGGGCACTGGCAGAGCTGGGGCTAGCAGATGAGGACCTGAGGCTGGAACATCTCACAGGACCCTCCTGGGAGCTGTCACGATGGCTGATGCCTGCTGGTGTCTTGGGGGAGGGAAGGACAAGCTGGGTGCCCATCCCACCCTGCCACCCCAGATGCATGTTGGGACCTGGCTCCAGCCCTGCTCTGGGTGGAGCGCTGGGTCCTGCCCTGTGTCCTGCTGTCAGGTGGAGAATGAATATGGGAGTTACTACGCCTGCGACTACAACTACCTGCGGCACCTCCTGGGCACCTTCCGGGCGCTACTGGGGGACGACGTGCTGCTTTTCACCACCGACGGCACAAAGGCAGATGAGCTACGCTGCGGCACCCTGCAGGGGCTCTACGCCACCGTGGACTTTGGGCCAGGTGCTCTGAGGAAGAGGAGGAGGATAGGGGATGGGGGTCTCTCCGACCTTCTCCGACCTCTCTTCGTTCATTTCCACAGGCTCCAACATCACAGAGGCGTTTGCTGCCCAGCGCCTGGTCCAGCCGAAGGGGCCCCTGGTGAGCTTGGTGTGGGCACCTTGGGAGGGAATTAGCCGCTGCGGCTTTGGGGAGGCAGAAGGGCTGGGGGGTGCGAGGCAAAGAAGGATGCTGGCGTCAGGCTGCCTGGGGAGTAGGGGGGATGTGGCTGATACAGGCAGGAGCCCCCCCCCCCCCAGCCGGTAACAGCCCCTTGCTCCCCCAGGTGAACTCCGAGTACTACACGGGCTGGCTGGACTACTGGGGGGAGGCACACGCCAGCACCAGCTCTGCACGGGTAGCCCAGGGACTCGCGGACATGCTGCAGCTGGGAGCCAGCGTCAACATGCAAGTAGCTCCTTGGCTTGCAACGGGGTCGCAGCCAGGGCCGGCAGCCCACCCTCCTGCAGGCATCAGAGCAGGCATCGCTGCCGGGGGAGCACGGAGGGGGCAGCGCCTGACAAACCTCTGCCGGGCTTCGTGCGGTTGCTGACCTCAGTCTCTGGGGTGTCACGTAGGTACATGTTCCAGGGGGGGACCAACTTCGCCTACTGGAGCGGTGAGTGGGGCCATGCCCGGGGGGAGGGCTGGCGAGCGCGGCGGGGCCAGGCAAGGGCACAGGCGCACTGCGGGGCTGGGGTTAAGGGACTGACCTTGGCCATCCCTGGAAGACGCTGTTCCAGGGCTCCCTTTGTGTCCTATTGGGTGGGCTGACACATACTAGCTTGTCCCACCTTGGGATACCATTTGTCTCTGAGCAGGGACCCTCAGGCCCACAGTTCTGGGTCCTGTCCCCCTGCATTGCAAGGACTGGTCCCCACCAGCGGGGCCTTGGGGTCCAGGGCCCTGGCTACGCCAGAGAGCCCCTTTCTGCAGCTCCCTTTGCTTTTCCTGGCCAGGTGCCGACTTCAAGGAGCAGTATAAGCCAGTGACCACCAGCTATGACTACGACGCACCGCTCTCAGAGGCTGGAGACCCCACTGAGAAGCTGTTTGCCATCCGCACAGTCATCAGCAAGGTGCTGAGCCTGGCAGGAGGAGGGGGACAGCACGGGCATGCTCCTGCCCCGGGTGGCAGGAGATCCCAGGCAGCCCAGCACTGGGTGCCGTTGCCTGCGCTGGGGCAGAGGGCACACAGCACCTGGTAGGAGAGCCACTAGGCTGCTAGGGGATATCTCCCTGCTGCCTGCTATACTGAGATGTGGGTCCCAGGGGAAGCCACACCCCGATGGGGCACCTAGCAGTCTGCTCTTCAGTTCCAGGCCTTGCCAGTGGGTCCAATGCCGCCCGCCACCCCCAAGTACGCCTACGGCCGGGTGGCCCTGCGCAAGGTAAGTGCTTGCCCCAAGGGCTGCGTCACCCCTACCTGGCACTGCCCTGCTGCCCAGCTCCTATCTCTTTGCAGTATGCCAGTCTGCTGGATGTCTTGGACGTGCTGTGCCCCTCCGGGCCCATTCAGAGCCTGTTTCCCCTCACTTTTGAGGCCATAAAGCAGGTGAGGGGCTTGGTAAAGCAGGAGACACTGGCATGATGTTCCTGGGCTTGTCTGTCCTGCACTGTTGAGCCTAGCAGGCCAGAGCCCTGCCCCGGCTCTGGGATGGAGGAGCAGGGCCAGCGGCCAGCCCTGCTTCCCATTTCCCCATTTCCCGTGCTGCTCTGCCTTCTCCTGCAGGCTCACGGCTTTGTGGTGTACCGCACACACCTGCCCCGGGACATCCCGGACCCGGCCACCCTGAGCGCTCCTCCCCACAGCGTCTGCGATCGCGGCTACGTGATGCTACAAAAGGTGAGGCCTTGGGTGCACACCGGGCCCTCGTCCTGCCTCCCAGGAGGGCTGCGGAGCCTGGTCGGAGCAAGGCCATACTGTGCCAGGGCCCCGGGGACAGCCAGGGTGCTGGGAGCCATGGGCCGTACTGAGCCTTGGAGGGTGGCCCGCTCGCCTGT